CATAGATGATGGATGGATGGATGGATGGATAAATACATACAGGAGAGATAGATGGATGAATAGATAGATACATAGGAGATAGATGATAGATAGATAGATAGATAGATAGATAGAAAGATAGATAGATAGATAGACAGATAGATAGATAGATAGATAGAATAGATGGATGGATGAGAGATTTACTGTGAGAAATTATGTGAGAAATTTTTATTATGTGAGAAAAATTTATGTGAGAAATTATTTACTGTGAGAAATTATGGAAGCTGAGAAGTCCCACAGTCTGCTGTCTACAAGCTGGAGACCATGAAAGATGGAGGTATGGTTCCATAGCCAGAGAAGGAGTGCCAATGGTGTAAGTCCCAGTCCAAGAGCAGAAGACCAGTATACCAACTCAACAGTCAGACTGAGGCAGAGAATTCTCGCTTCCTTGGCGTTTTTGTTCTGTTTAGAGCCTCACTGGACTGAGTGATGCCGCCCACCCCACCCCCACATTGGGGAGGGCGGCAGTCTGCTTTTCTCAGTCAGCTAAGTTAGCTTGTCTCAACTGGAAGTACCCTCAGATACGGCCGGAAATAATGTCTAACCAAATACCTGTACCCTGTGACTCAGCCAAGAAGACATATAAAATTAGCCATCACCAATAGTAAGAAAGGTCGTGCTATAAATTGTCTTCACCGTTAGAAAGTTATATGTTGATGCAATCAGAGGTTATTTGCAATTAAATTTATTTGCATATGTAAAGATTTGACTAATAAGTACTCAAGATCTTTGTAGCATTCTTGGATTTGATTGAACTTCTTCGCGTTGTATTAATTTGATTTTGCTGTGGTATGAATATATATTACCATTGCTGGAAAACTGATATATAGCAGAGAATCTCTCAGTGAAGGAGCTTAGTTGACATACGAGCATCCACATCTCAACATGGATCTCTGTTTTTCTTGTTGTATGACTAAAAGCAAAACTGCTGTCTTGCACCTAAGCAGATCTAAGCACACCAGATTCCTCAGTTGGGGAAAAAAGCATTTTGAGGTAAAGAACAACCTAATACTTACTTCCAAAATAAATGAAGCTTTAAGCCCTCTCCTGCAACAGGTAACCTTCTACTGAAAACAGTTTTATCCTTGACTTTGCAGTACCAAGGACTGCAGATGTGATGGCACTTACAGATACGAAAATCTTGAGGGAAAACTGCTTTTCCTGCTACTATGAACAGATTAAATTTAACCTTGGGAAGCTTGTGAGGTTTTCTCCCTTAAGTATCTGCTATGTTTTTAGTTAGACAATTCTTAAGTCTGGGCTCCCTTACAAAATTGCTAATAGTAATACTTTTCTTAATGCTTTCATCTTTGGCTTTTCCTTATATGTACACACATTAATGCTTACAACATGAAAAAATTTATTCTGAAATTGTGTGTGACACATATGAGGAAATGACAGAAGGGTAATGTCCAGAGGGCCTTGTGCCACATATTGAGTTGAAGGTGGAGAAAAGTTAAAGCTAGAAATTGTCAGAGAGTTTTTCTTCATCCTAAGAATGTTTAAAGATCATGAAGGATTTTAAAGCAAAAACTAGGGTGGATGGATAATGTGTAATGGGCTGTTTTCTGAGGAGAGGGAATGTCAGATGGAATGAGGTGACGATGAGTCATGTGAGTGGAGGAGATAGGTGGGACTGATGCTTGGAGAACTGTAAGCTCAAGATTAAAAACTGGGAATTCTTAGCAGATAGGTGGTCGTTAAAATCCTTGGGCATGGCCGGGCCTGGTGGCTCAGTGTTGGGGTTCAATCAGTCTGGTGGGAAAAATATTAGAGACAGTTATAGAAATAGACACAAATCTTCTTGGAAGGCCGAGAAGTAACTTCAGTAATCGATCTGGTTGAATGCAGCCTGGTTCCTTTACCTTGAGTTAAACAAATTAAAGTAGTAATAAAGAAAGGCAGAGTAGTTTACCTAGCTAGCTTGTTTACTTATATAATATTAAGACTAAGCTTTAATGTACCATGGGTGCTTAAGTGCGTTTTACTTGGGAAGTCCCCAGTGTCAGTTACCCTCCAATGGTGTTGACTCAAGCCTGTATGAATTAATCTTACTGAATAAATGCGAGTCTCACCAGCTGATCAGGGCCATGGTTGCAACTGTTCACAGAACTCTCCAGGGAGTCTATAAGTGGCTCAGACACCCTCAGCTGGACTGGCAAAACAGAGTATCTGTGTGTTAGTGTACTTTATTTATCCATCGCCGGGTCAGTGTCTGCGGGGACCCCAGCAGCTGGTACCCCCATGAGAGGCACGTTGCCACAGCTCATACCTGTAATTAAAGCACTTTGGGAGGCCGAGGTGGGTGGTTCACCTGAGGTCAGGAGCTCAAGACCAGGTTGGTCAACATGGTGAAACGCCATCTCTGCGAAAATACCAAATTTAGCCAAGCATGGTGGCAGGCGCCTGTAATCCCAGCTACTTGGGAGACTGAGGCAGAAGAATCACGTGAACCTGGGGGATGGAGGTTGCAGCGAGCCAAGATAGTTCTGGGCGACAGAGTGAGACTTGATCTCCAAAAAAAAAAAAAAAAAAATTGGGGCAGGGACAAAACTGTGTGGGTAGTGCAGAGAGTGAGAAAAGAGGGGAGCTAAAAGAGTAAGTCTTCAGAAACAAATCACCAAATCAAGAGGAATGAGCTTTCCAAAGGAAACTGAGAAGGAATGACAAGTGGAAAAAGAAAGTACGTAGAGAAAATTATTTCAAGGGAGGTAAGAGTTGAGAGTGGCTACAGTACTAAATTCCATCAATTAGATCGAATGAAATCAGTTCTGAAAACATGTCATTCAGATTTATTTTACTTGGGGTCGTAAATACACCAAAACACTGTGATGCTTCATTATCTTGTAATGGTCATGTCACGGAAATGTAAAGTTGAGCTAATTGTTTTCTTGGTTGGCCCTTGGGTTTGGGGTGTTGTATGTGTTTGTGTTAAGGAGATACTGTAGGACCTACCATGTCTTTATTGAGTGATTTTTTTTTTTCAGAAATACTCTTCGTGTTGATTTCTATTAATTTTTGCTCAAAAATAGTAGACACTTGAAATCTATATACATAGGCATATTTTCATCTCAGGAAAGGCTTATTCTCTACTTTGACTACTTTTGTCTACTTTTTTCCCCTACTTTTCGTCTTTTCATTTGAACTTTATTTCCTATGTTACTTTTGATGGTTCTCTGAGAGTCATCATTATTTGTAAGTTGGTTATTTATTTTCAGTTCTCCATTGTGAAATTTTCCTGATTCTAGAATTCTAAGAGCAGTTTATGATGTAGATCTTTTACTTAAAAGACAGTGTAAAAACTGGACCTTCAGCATTTTAGGATTTTTACCTTATCCAAAGTAATCTCAGAACAACTATAGTTAATTCAGTCTTCAAACTTCATAATAGTGAATATTTTTAAAGGGCTTAAAGCTAACTTTTTTTTTTTTTTAACAGAGATGCAAATATTAAATATATTCTATTGCATTTCAGTTTCTTTGTAAATACACTTTTCTATCATCGTTCTGGTTATATCACTCATATTTTAGACTGTCCATATAATATTTTAAGTGTCAAGATAATATTTTAAAGTACTAATTGTATGGAAAAATAATTATATACATTTTTCTTTTTTGTTTAGATATGGAGTATGAAACAAGACAATTGTGTCCATGATTTGCAAGCACATAATAAAGAAATTTATACTATCAAATGGAGTCCAACAGGACCAGGAACTAATAATCCAAATGCCAACCTTATGTTAGCAAGGTGATACTTCTGTTTTATTCCTCCTTTTATGAGTTTTCTACAAATACAACTTCTAATAAATATGACAGAAATTTAGGGAAGGTTTCATCAAGTGGAAACTTTTTTTTTTCCTAATTGCAGTAGTTTTTGGTGTACAGGTGGTTTTGGGCTACAAGAATAAATTCTTTAGTGGTGATTTCTGAGATTTTAGTGCACTGGTTTTGCAAGGAGTGTAGTGTACCCAGTGTGTAGTCTTTTATCCCTCACCTCTCTCTCAATCTCCCTACCCCTACCTCCAGTCCACAAAATTCATTATATCATTCTTATACCTTTGTATCCTCATAGCTTAGCTCCCACTTATAAGTCAGAACATGATATTTGATTTTCCATTCCCGAGTTATTTCACTTAGAATGATGGTCTCTAGCTGTATCCAAGTTGCTGCAAAAGACAATATTTCATTCCTTTTTATGGCTAAGTAGTATTCTATTGTGTAGGTATACCACATTTTCTTTATCCACTTGTTAGCTGATGGGCACTACGTTGGTTCCTTAAGGGGAATCTTTAAACACTGGGTTTTATTATTTCAAGTTATAATGATATTTTATATTGAAATAATCAAATATTGACTGATACCAAATATTGATGAAAATCCAAGCAATTGAGGCATAGCAAAATAAAGTGTCTTTAGTATCTTTAGAAAAAAGACAAACGGAAAACTGTGGTCACTTCAGTGTTCAAAACCATGCGAAACAGGGATTATTTAGAGAGAAAAGGAATACAGTAAATGAACACATTTATGTTTTCTACTCCTGAACTTGGGAGATTCCTTTAAGGGTTTTTTTTGTTTTTGTTTTTTGTTTTTTTTTTTCCTTGTTTAGCTTTTAATTTCTAGAACACTTGCTCTTCTTTCTGAATTTCATTTATTTATTATTTTCTTGTCACTGATTTGAAGCTCACAGAATATTCTTCCCAACAATCCAATCGGTCTGCTTCTCATAAAGAATTTTGGCTATTTTAGATGTGGCTGAATATGGAGGTTGGGGTGGAGGGAAGGCTGGAGGAGTATTTCCTTACTTATAAATTAACTTTCTTTCCCTCCCTTTTCAGTGCATCCTTTGATTCTACTGTTAGGTTGTGGGATGTAGACCGAGGGATCTGCATCCATACCTTGACAAAACACCAAGAGCCTGTGTACAGTGTAGCTTTCAGTCCTGATGGCAGGTATCTGGCAAGTGGTTCTTTTGACAAATGTGTACACATCTGGAACACACAGGTATGTCTCCATTATTTAAATGGTCAGGTACTCTTAAATTTAGGTAGAAACATTTGCCTATACACTTTCCCCTACCATTTGCTTGTCATTCTTCTTGTGGCATTAATTGAATTCTTGGTTTTAGAGTAAGATAGAAACCAATTGAAGTTATGTCTTTATGGAGACCGGAATTTTGAAATGGATTTAGATCGTTTGTTTTATTATTTATTATTGTATTCTTTTGTTTTTTTCCAACAGTTTTGTAGATATCAAATGTGAATGTTTAGGATGTATTTATTTACATAAATGACAGATTTTATTTTTCAAAATAGTTGTCTCTGAAGGAGCTATATATGAGCAGTAAACATCAAAGGACCAGATTTTGTGGCTGAATGCAATAATTTATAAGAAAGAAACTTACAGCTACGTTACCTTTTCAGGTAGTATGTATAGTGTTTCAGAGATTCTTAAAAGTGGAGAAAACAGCCTGTTGCTTTCAATTTTTTAAATCTTCTCAGTGTTTTAGTTTTTATGCTCTATGTACTATACTTTTTTAATAGCAGTCACTGGACTCACCCCTCCTTTCAGTTATCAGATCTTTGTTAGATGTAGTGCACACATAATAAGTTATTATGGTCTATTTCTCTTTGTGTAGGTGTCCGCCACCATAGTTCATCTCACTAATTAATTTTCATAACTTATTTTGAAGATTTTAAAATTATTTTATACATTCATACAGTTTAGAATAAACCTCAAACCTTATATAAAGGTATATACACTGAGAAACTTTGTTCCCATTTCTGTCTTCCTCTCCTGCTGGTAACAATTTTTCTTAGTTTTTATTTTTTCCTAACTTCTTTTTATGAATAAAAGCATTGTGCTTTTTTCATTTTACACTACCACTGACAATATAAAATAATGTTTCACCTCACAGTTCTATCCTTTGGTGATAAATGGTATTTCAGCATAGTTTTAAATTTGCATTTTCTTATGAATGACATTAGGAATTTTTTTTTATGTATTTAAGCATACTTGTTAATTTTTCTGTGACTGACCATGTTTTTTTCCATTCTTTTCAACTGGGTTATTCATTGTCTTTGATTTCTAGCAGGACTTTATGGACTAAAAACTAAACCCTTTGTAATGTGGTTGCAGATTTTTGCTAGTTGAACAAATGATTATTAAGCCTGAATCTTACATTACATTTTAATACAATTTTTAAATATTTATTTTTGTTTTTCTTTAAATAGAGACAGGATCTTTCTATGTTGCCGGGGCTGGCCTTGAACTCCTGGGCCCAAGGGATCCTCCCACCTCAGCTTCCCAAAGTGCTGGGATTACAGGCATGAGCCACCATGCTGGGGCTTCTAATAAAATTTTAGGCTGCATATGTTGGCTCACACCTGTAATCCCAGCACTTTGGGAGGCCAAGGTGGGCAGTTCTCTTGAGGTCAGGCGTTCAAGACCAGCTGGTCAACATGGTGAAACCCCATCTCTCCTAAAACTACAAAAATTAGCCAGGCGTAATGACACAGTAGTCTCAGGTACTCGGGAGATTGAGGCAGGAGAATCGCTTGAACCCAGAGGTGGGGGTTGCAGTGGGCCAAGATCGCACCACTACACTCCAGCCTGGGCAACAGAGTGAGACCCTGTCTAAAAAAAAATATTAAAAATAATTAAATAAAAATGTTTTGCTTTAATTTTTATTATTACTTCCTTACCTCTACTCCCATATTTTCTGTCTTCATGAATATATGCCTGTGTTGGATATATTCTGTAACTATGATATATATGCTTTAAAAACTCTTTCCTAGATTTTAGTTTAACTTTGTGTTTGTGGGAAGACACTAATCATGCACCCAACTAACCTTTTTTTTTTTTTTTTTTTTAAATATGAAGTCTCGCTCTTGTGCCCCAGGCTGGAGTG